CCGCCCCTGCCGCCGATAGGCAGAAAACACTAAGGGCCGAAAAGTTTCTAAATTGAGCAGAGAATCAACTTGTATGCTGTGAAACTGCCAGTGGCGCGCTTTGGAAACTTTGCATGGAAACTGCAACTTTCAAGGAAGAAATCCCGCAGCCTCATCCAGACATTCGCCCTGTATATTCTGAAAACCTTTCGAGAAACTTTGAAGTATAAGCCAGACTTTAAAAGCCAAAACGGCAAGCAAAAGTGAGATGCGTTCATTGAATTTTGCAATTTCGTTTCAGGCTCAAGACAGCCCCAGCCTGCACCTAAGGGCAAACTGCGGCTGTACAGCAACAGATTCTGCCCTTATTCGCAGCGAGTGATGCTGGTGTTGGATTCGAAAAAAATTGCGTAAGTTAAAAAAAACGCTGAATTTCTGTGGTTGTTGCGCAAAAACTCTACTAAAGCAATGGCAATGTTAGATTGGCGATAAGCAACGCTTTTTGTATAGCCGAAATAGCTCAGTTGGGAGAGCGTTAGACTGAAGATCTAAAGGTCCCTGGTTCGATCCCTGGTTTCGGCAAACTTTTTTTTTTCCTTTTTGCGTTAAATTATCTGTGAAATTCTCGATATATTTTTATTTATCTATCTACCTGTTTCAGATACGATGTAGTCAATATAAACCTGCACAGTAAGCCAGACTGGTACTACGAGAAGAGCCCTTATGGAAAAGTGCCAGCAATTGAGCTGGAAAGCGGCGACGTTTTGTATGAAAGTCTCATCATTGCTGATTACTTGGACGAAAAATATCGCTCCAACCACTTGCAAAGCGTCGACCCTTTGCAGAAAGCCAAAGATCGGCTGCTGATTGAGGATTTCAACAGAGTAAGTCGCCAGTTAACCACCCGCATTTGAACTACCCCCTAATTATTGGGAGTTCTAGATGGTCCATACCATGACCAACTTCCTAAGCTCGATTGGTCGCTTCAGTCTCGAAGACGACGAAGTGATTGTGAACGGTTTGACCACATTTGAGCGCGAGCTCTTCCATAGGGGCACCCCATTCTTTGGAGGCTCCAAACCTGGCATGCTGGACCTGATGATCTGGCCCTGGTGCGAAAGGGCCGAAATCCTCAAGCTGTTCGGTAACGCTAATCTTCTGAAGAAAGACAAATACAGGCGACTGGTAAGAGGGACGTTTGGAGCTTGAGGAGTTGTTATGACCAATTGCGTTCTAGCTGGAATGGTGTCGAAGAATGAGCGAAGAACCGAGCGTGAAGAAGAGCTTCATGGAGTCGGATATTCACATCAAATATCTGCAGTCGTACAGGGCGGGCAGGCCTGACTATGACATGATTCTTGACTCCAGCGAGTAGGAGAGAAGAATATGTGGGAACTGTGCACAAAGCTATATAGAGTGTACTCACA